CCCCCTTTTTCTTTTAAACTATAACTACCACAGATTTGATATTTGGCACATCGATACAGGACAAAAAGGTTTACTTTATGAAGTTAGTGTTGTTACTATATCACTTCCGGTTAGGCCGGAATTTATAAATTATAATGTATTTAACAGTTTTTATTAACTTTTCTTTTACAATATAACAAAATGTGCGGAACAATAAACTTGGATTTAACTTCACATTCTTCCGCAATTAAATCGTCAATTTCTGTGTAATCTCCATTGTCGTGGAAAATATTTTACGTGTAATGACACACGTCATAATTCAGATCCACATTTTCATCACAGCTCGGTACACAAATATAATTTACAAATCCCTCTAGGTGGAAATCTTCACCTTGGAACGATATCATACAGGGTATATCCTGTATATTTGTCCGTTTAAGGCTAGACCCCTCTGTGTAAGTGTCAATAATTAAGTACGGACCTAAAATATTATGTGATGTATTAGGAGGATATAATTTAAAATGGTCTCAGTTGTATTTTAGAGGTTTTACCGCAACTTACCGCAGTATGCAATTTNACTATAACTACCACAGATTTGATATTTGGCACATCGATACAGGACAAAAAGGTTTACTTTATGAAGTTAGTGTTGTTACTATATCACTTCCGGTTCGACCGGAATTTATAAATTATAATGTATTTAACAGTTTTTATTAACTTTTTTTTTACAATATAACAAAATGTGCGGAACAATAAACTTGGATTTAACTTCACGGTCTTCCGAAATTAAATCGTCAATTTCTGTGTAATCTCCATTGTCGTGGAAAATATTTTACGTGTAATGACACACGTTATAACTCAGATCCACATTTTCATCACAGCTCGGTACACAAATATAATTTACAAATCCCTCCAGGTGGTAATCTTCACCTTGGAACGATATCATACAGGGTATATCGTGTATATTTGTCCGTTTAAGGCTAGACCCCTCTGTGTAAGTGTCAATAATTAAGTACGGACCTAAAATATTATGTGATGTATTAGGAGGATATAATTTAAAATGGTCTCAGTTGTATTTTAGAGGTTTTACCGCAACTTACCGCAGNCCCTCTGTGTAAGTGTCAATAATTAAGTACGGACCTAAAATATTATGTGATGTATTAGGAGGATATAATTTAAAATGGTCTCAGTTGTATTTTAGAGGTTTTACCGCAACTTACCGCAGTATGCAATTTTACTTGCCGCATTGCACACAAGGAAACCTTTTTTCTTCACAAATTTCTATACAAGTTTTTTCTAAAAATTTTATACTGTCGGTGTTCACAGCTAAACTTTGTATTGGAAAGTTTTGTGACCAATTGCAGCTCATACAATGTTGCTTTTCCATGAGTAGCGAATTTCCCTTAAATAAAAGTGTTACAAGCTCACCCACTGAAAATTCACATTTTAAAATAGTCGTTTCGCCTACCACTCTTTGATTCTTTTCCGGCATTATATCTTTCAAAATTTCTGTCCTTGTAGAATATGTGTTGGACACAATACCTTAAATATGCGGATATAAATCAGTAAGTTAATCATTACAGTATTTTTTATTGTGTGATATTTTTAATAGTTATTTATGTATCAATGCTTTAAAGCCGGCCTNAAGGCTAGACCCCTCTGTGTAAGTGTCAATAATTAAGTACGGACCTAAAATATTATGTGATGTATTAGGAGGATATAATTTAAAATGGTCTCAGTTGTATTTTAGAGGTTTTACCGCAATATGCAATTTTACTTGCAGCATTTTTGCCGCATTGCACACAAGGAAACCTTTTTTCTTCACAAATTCCTATACAAGTTTTTTCTAAAAATTTTATACTGTCGGTGTTCACAGCTAAACTTTGTATTGGAAAGTTTTGTGACCAATTGCAGCTCATACAATGACGCTTTTCCATGAGTAGCGAATTTCCCTTAAATAAAAGTGGTACAAGCTCACCCACCGAAAATTCACATTTTAAAATAGTCGTTTCGCCTACCACTCTTTGATTCTTTTCCGGCATTATATCTTTCAAAATTTTTGTCCTTGTAGAATATGTATTAGACGCAATACCTTAAATATGCGGATATAAATCAGTAAGTTAATCATTACAGTATTTTTTATTGTGTGATATTTTTGATAGTTATTTATGTATCAATGCTTTAAAGCCCGTCTTTTTTAAGCTGTAATAAAGGCACGTGAGTATTAAAAAAACGTGTATTGTTATACAAACGTGCCATTAATTATTTATTTATCGGCTTTAATGCTTT